AAACCGCTTGACCATGACAACATCAACCAAATGTTTGGTCTCACTGTAGACAAAATGGGCGCGGTGTTTGAATATGACTTTTGTAGCAAGTGGGCACATTGTCAATCTGATGGGGATGTACCAGGCCTGTGACACGCATTCAAAGCACGTCCCCCAGTGGCAGTGGTTCTGGTATGCGTGACCACTGCCACTGGAAACTACTCCTCGCTAAAGGCTCGTTTGGAGGGGTTTAAAAAGACACCCCGGTGGTTGCTGAAATGTCGGTGCACATACAAACCACTACGACAGGTGAAAGGCCCGAAACAACAGTGTTTGTGTCGTTCAACGGACAGTCACATATGTGAGTAGTCCAAAAACAGCCAATTGGCGACCAGCTGTACAGCAAGCCACGTCAGCCTCAAACGCCGAAGTTGTTTTTATAGCTACTCCTGCTGTACATTACGAAAACTGGGTTTCAGTAGAAAGGAAGGTGGGGCCTTTCCATAAAAACCCACCCACAGTGCACAATAACAGGAATGTCAGTTGCAGGTCGAAGTTCACCTTCTTATTCAGAATTATTCAACTGTATTACATTCGATTTGCTGTTTCTTGAACAGCTTCACAATCAAGTCACCTCCCTACAAGTACCCTGAATGCTACCGCTTACGAAACCTCAAGCGCAATAACTGGCCTCCGACTTCTGGTCCATCACAAATGTAGCGGAAATCTGGATGAGCAACCAAATTCGAGAGATCATTTTATCTAACGGCAACACATCCACAGTAATGCTACGCAACAGATTTCTCCGGTACTTTGTCTTGTATGAATCCATCTAATAGGAGGGAATTAACGGCCAGTGTATCCCCTTGACAATGCTGCATGCTTTATTAAGAAATCTTCGAAGTTTTACCCGTGTAAAACTCACCACTGTTGAACGACGATTGTTCCAGTCTTTAATTACCTACACCACAACAAATATTTTCAGTATTATCAATCTCAATTGCCGGGAAAGATGACACTTGAAGAGTAAGAAGTGCCTGAACTTAGATATTCACCTGGATTATATAATTGTATGAATACTTACTTATTCCTGAAATCTTTGATTTCAGGTCGGTCAATGAAGCTACGAATACAAGTAATACCACTAAAATAGACGTTTATGTGACGAAACACTGGGTTTCCGCATACGGATCATTCAAGTCCACTACTCATAACGCAAACACCGAATATTGCGCCGATTTGATACCACTTTAGCGTGAAAGAAAGAATCCTGAGTAGGAATGATTCAAACTCAGAACGATGTGTATGTACTGCAACGTGATATCTTCCTGCTCTTCTCATAGCGTATGGACACTTGATATCATGATAGAGTTTAATGTCCTCTTTCTGTAGCATTTAACAGTATTCAAATCTTCTAGGTTTCTCTGCAATAATCGGTTTGATGATGCCTGTAAACCGGCTTCTCTCACATTAAATTCATAACCTGAGAGTAAAATATTTGTTAACGTGTTCTTTTGTCATGAAAGTAATCTTGATAGAAAAAACCGTTCGACCAAAGGCAGTGGGGAACGTTATGTTGTACTGGTGCTAAGCGGCCCAGAGACAAAACTATGCTGCTTCTACTGAAGCAGACGTTTACCATCAAGAAAGCCTCGATTGATGAGGGTGGCACTTGGCTAAAAGGTTCCCCTTGCTGTCATCATCATCGACCGGTTATCAAACGTTTGGTGTAGGAGAGATTAGCTATGGCCAGCGAGAAAAATATCGCGAGAGATCCCTTGCAAGCTTGGACCAACGAAAGCAGTTATCCTTGTTATACCGGAACTGACAGCCAGAGGATCAGTAGAATGGCATACTAGTGGTGCTCTGCAATTGCAGCGGTCGTTGACAAGGATAGGGTTAAATAGAATAGTGGTGCAGGTGACCTGTAGAGTGCCTTCACATTTGATACCATTGGTGTCAGATTCATGGGTATCAACCTCGGATGCTCAGAGCTTCTAACCAAAATACTTCAAAGTTAGTAAGCAGTTAAGGACAGCATCAACAGAAACGTTTCGATGTAATCCCATATGAACTGAACACAGGGGCAAAAAGATTGGGGCAGTACAAAGGAAAGTTCCAATAATCGTGTCCGGAAAATGTTTCACTGCTCAAATGAAATACTGGTGAATGTAAAAATATTGTACAAAAATATCATTGTATCGTAAGTTTATCAATCAATTCTGTCTTCACAATACTACAAAGCATTCTTCGAATCTTCTATTGACTTGCATTCCATAAAACGTTCTTTCCGTGCCTGGTCTATACTTAAATACCTAAATAGTCTCGTTACTGTAGAAGTAACTGATATTGAGCACTCACCGTAGGTTTCTGATTTCGGCACTGTGAAGGCACTCACCCATCAGAAGGCTAACACGTTATGTATCCTCTGAACATCTATAACTTCGATGTTTAAAGTTCAGTCGTTTCCAGGTCAAATGGCTTTCATTCGCAATGTTTTAAGTTCAGATTAAAATAGAAAAGAAACTCAATCAGAAATAAAGCATTCCATAATAAATGGGTTGTTTTTGTTTCAGATTTCAAAAACGGTTTTGAAAATAAGACGTATGGTAAAGACAAAATAGATTCACTCCAGTTAAAACGTGAAGAAAAACTATGCAGTTAAAAAATATCACTTCAAAGTTTTCACTTACCTTCTTTCTTGCGCGGCCAATTTGCATCAGACGTTGCTCCATTCTAACTGTTTTAGCTGATTTACTAACGTGCATTTCATTCGTAACGCCGTTCACCACAACCTGCGGGCGTTTCTTCAGGGTTACATATCGTGGTTTCTACCCACAAAGGTTTGATGAATTACTTACTGTCACAGGTACCAATGGGTGGGAAAAATACGTTCAGAAACCTATGCGTGAAGATGGCGAACTGGGCCTAGTCTTTTGCTATGACATCATCCCTGTCACTACCTACGTTAGTTGCCAATTCTGTAACAGTGACCATAGAATGGTTTTCTGTTCCTTGCCAATTTTTCCTCCCAATGAGATAAACAATCAATCTTCAAATTGTACTCGGAACCGAAGCTACAAGAATATAGAATGGAAAGTACTCATCGAGCTACTCAGGTGAACTCCATGGGAGGAGTTCCTTACGACAGCACCGTTAATGGATACACTTTCACTTTTCCTCAGAAATATAAATTTATGTCTAGATACGGTTGCTGCTATGAAAACACTTAAGGAGCATAAGCAGAAAGACTGACTCATATATCCCTAAAACATTCCCCAATAAACTTAGGAAATTATCGTCACAATAATACTCGTCGGAAGACTTCATGTCACTCCACTCAATTTATGAGACTTACGAATCTATTAAAACATTACTTGTGGAATATACAGTAAGCGAAGAGATCCTTGATCTCATAAAATTGACTCTGGAATGCAGAAGTTGGTACCTCTTTTGAATAAACGTTTGGAGCCATCAGGAGACGTAGTCTATTTACTAGACCATGGAATGGTGTGCAACGATACCGTCAAGATTAATGAACTGTTTAGCGAGTCATTTGTAAATTTCAAACCTAATACTTTTAACCCCACTAGTTTTAATCCAATTAACACAAGTTCGTGTAATAAAGTGAAGTTCACTCTCAAATGTATTGTCACACCCAACCTATACGCATGTGCTATCCTCCATATCTTTGCGGGTATAAAATTCACTTGCCTGCTCACTGGTTGCCATTGATATTAAGTTAATTATTTGATGTTTAAGTGGATCAATACACATTGGCTGATCGATTTTGTTGCTTTCCGCATTGGGATTGGTAAACTTGTCCAGTTTCTTAGAGTAGTACCAACAACCAATTCTGTCTGGACATTTCGCGACGGTCTTGATCGCTCCTCGAATTCCTAACAGTACCATGGGGAGATATTCTATCCAGCTCGTTTTATTAGCGTGTAATATAATGACAGCCCCATCAATGAATTTTTCCACCAAGCCATTCGCCTGTGCAACGAATCCTGTGTGAGCCAAGGAATTTAGATAAGTTATTAATGGGCTCTGATTCAAACTTCACCCGTCTGTCTGTGGTGGTCATTTCGGGAACACAAAATATCGACACTCAGAAAAGCATTTGCCACTGTTTCTGCAGTAATGTCTGTAAATGGAATGGCTGTATAGAACCTTATGTATCTGTCAATGCATGTAAGTAGGTGTGTGAAACCTTTAGAATGGAGTAAAGGCCCTACCGAATCCGCGCGTACATATACAAAACGCAAATTGGATTGAGAAAACGCTTAAATTTTAGATCGTTATCCATCAGGCTGGTGAATGAAACTTGATTAAATGAGCATCGAAAGTCATCATGGAATGATCATAAACATTTTAAACTATTGAAAAGGAAAATGTTTTCATCCAGTATCGTAAATATGATAAAAATTTCTACTAAGTGGTAGTTAGTTAATCTGAACTTCTGAAAACAATATTTACATATCCAATTTCAACACACTTTTGACATTTCATCATCTGGTTGTGATGTAGATTCGACTGATTACTTACCACTAACATCTCTGTATTGAGGTCCACAGAATTCAGAAGAGCACAAAAACTCTTTGTACTACTCGTTTTAGCTCACTAATATTCATACCAGCAATCACATCACCACAACATTTAATGTGCTGCTGAAGTTGTACACCTACAGTTTTGTCTGCAATTACTAGAATAAATCTTAAACCTTTTGATTAGCGATAAGAGTGAGCTGATAAGAAGTGGGCTGTCAGACATTTTCCGAATAAAGCCATATGGAAGGTATAAATTAAGTACTACTTTGAGCTTTCATATAGAAGAGATACTATTTGACCAAAGCAAATATTACACTAAAGTAGTAAGCCATTACTTTCTTATCTTGGGGCTCTTTCACAAACTTCATGCAACAGCACAAATCGAACTAGAATTCAAAAGTAATTGAGAGTTACTCGAACCGTACTTGTGACACTAAAGTGATATATTTTATGATACTGTAACGTGGTATTCAGGAATTCTCATAGACCTGAATAGACTGCAGGATAGGTAGGAGTATAAATTTTGAGCAAGAGTAGGTTATATGTATTATGAAATAACAATGAACAGAAAAATTATACCGAAACATTTAAATTGTACGGCACTGAAATCGGTCATTCATAACAGTAAAATCAATTCATTTTGGTAAGTGAGGTCAACAGGAGAATCAGGAAAAGGATTTATATTGAGCGCAAACATAATTACTAGATTTTTAGTGAATACTAAAAATCTTAAAATAAACTGTATCCTGAGAATATATATTTCATTACTATAATGATTGAGAAAATGAAAGAGTAAAGGTGGCTCCAGATCAAGAAGTAGATTCATGATTAACAATTGTTGCTATTACAATCGTACTACGGGCAAATAGTTAGTAGTATCACGCTTTAAAATAAATTTATCTGAAGGGAGGCAAATACATTTTTGGCTGTGTATCAAATGATATATATTTGCATCATATATACATGTGTTTATCTGCACATTTGAAATGGACTTCCCACTATACGTACCAAAACGAATTTACACCTAAATAATATCTGTGTACGCAACGTGAATGCATATATAAACAAAAGTTTATATTCCATTGCGCATTGACGGACAGGATAAGTCGCTCGGTGTACTATCAATTGTATCAATGTAATTCTTATTGATAACTTCAATTTTAAGCTTTTCATACAGTTTAAGACGTTTCTGCATGAGTTCCTCGTAGTTTTTATCAACTGGATGCGAATCAATCTAAACAATGAAAAGAAGAAAAGTCAAAGATGAAATCGTCGGAAGGCTATTATCATTATTATTTTTGCCATTGATGTTGATAATATTATTACTATTACTGTCCAGGAATATATGAAACTACAAGGTGTTGATCCACTCTAAACATAAAACTAAAGTGGAGTTATCATGTGCACAAGGGGGGTCAGTTAAACCAGTGGAACATAAGAATTCGGCTAAATATAGAATAGAAGACTCCTGTGAGGTCAATAGTCTAGAAAAACACCCGGCTATTGCAATGCATGCATTAACAGACAACCACACAATAGGATAGGCAGGATAAAACGACTGCACTTAAGTTCAGCATAATTAAACAGAGAGAGAGAGAGAGAGCATTAAATCTTTGTTCATTGGCTCAACATGCAATACATGTAATAGGAGTGACGCAACATATGCACCAGAGATATGGAAAACTTTACTAGTAATTAAAACAAATAATATGAATTGATAGGGTTATAAAAATCAGATGTCGAGAGCAATTTGATTACATTGATATGATTATGAGCAATAACAATGTATGCTCGAAGCGTCATCATCAAGTAAATAATACTATATCACTGTGTAGTATAAATCAAATTAAAAAAATCTAATATGGAATTACATTCTACCACATTGACAAAGTTTTACACTCATATTAAGTGTCAGTCTGATAAAAAAAGTCTTCGGAATTCGAACAATGTGCACACACATTTGATCATTGACACAGTTAATCATAGCTAATATGAAAAACATAACGCATCAGATGAGTCAAAATAATTTTTTTATACAGTGAACAAAAATCAACAGCATAACACGCTTTTTTCCTATTGACTGTTAGTATTTGTAGATACCTATTGAATAAGACTTGAAAAGTAATGCTCTAGATTAATTGCATATTTTGATATGTTAACTTTTCTTCTTATAAGTAGTTGAATATGTATTAAAAGAAAATTTACTGCTTTGACTATTGTATATAGGTTACATTAAACCTAACAATCTACGAGATCACTTGGCCATCATTGTGCAGGTTTTGTGGTGATTTTTAGTGATATAAATAAACTGAACACACAGACCGATATCTGAGTTATATAAATCTTCCACTGTCTTTTTTCATACATACAACTTAAATACAATAGTGAAACAATATAGTCATATTGGTGAAGAAAATGTTATGCAGCAGAACATTTCAAATATAACAGAAAATTCTTAAGATACTGCTTGTCGTATTTAACGTGGTTAAGTAATAATAAAAGAGGCAAAATGAAACTATTTTCTTATGTAAATGAATTAAAGTGGGTGAGCATGATCTTCTAGGATTATTACTGAAGAACTACGTGCTAATAATTATACTAGAAGTAAGTGACATTATTCCTTTTGTAAAATTAACACATATGAATTTTTCACACTTCGTTTAGAAGACATAACAGAACAATAGATGATTATGTTCTTAGTTGAAGTAGCACTTTCTGGTTGATATCATCAACATGCTTACAGTCAAAGTATTAAAAGTTAAGGTGAGTGTTTATTGCTAAAAGACTACTCATAAATTTGATTTCCAAATATTTTTTATGACTATTTGATGCCAACTGGAGAATTACTAAAAACTTTAGAGCAATTGGCAGTCATTTCGTCCCAGTAAGGGACTCCTCATCAGTACCCACTTATATAAACATCCCTTAGTCTCCTTGATGATGGCCAGAATAATAAGAATAAGCAACAAGGAACTCTGGTAATGAACCAACCAAGAAGCTATCGCTCAACAAATATGCAGTGGAAGATAGTGGAGATGGATTGGGCATACAGTAAGAAGGCCAACATGGGGACATCAAGCACCAGGCCAGGCCCTCAAGTGGAACCCAGAGAGGGAAACGACGAGTTGGGCGTCCGAGAAAAATGAAAGCATGTGGGTAGTGGTCAAGCCAGGTTGAAAAGACTGCAGAGAACAGAGTGCAATGGAGGCGTGCTACTGAAACTTTATGTTCCCTTAGGAACCTAAGGAAAAATAATATAATAATAATTGTCTCCTTGATAAATTAATATGGTTTAGTGAGAGGATGAAGGTTTTATTGAAGCATGTTATGCATTAGTGCTAAATATTTCAAGCAATCTAATTACACATGAAATTGTCAAATGTTTGAACAGAATATTCATAGGTTAAGTCAATCAAGTCAGTAGAAAAAGTATGAACAGAAGTGGCAGAACAAAAACAAAATTTAAATTACGTCACACTTACATGATATGGAAATTCAAATTAATACTGCCAACATAGTTCAACGAGAGTACAAATTGTATTTATATACATCAAGGAATTTTAATTTATGGATGGTTTAAACTTTAATAAACGTAAGGTTACACTATTGACTACTTTAATGCAACACTTTAAAGTGTATGTAAATGTCTAGCTTAAAACTAGTTTTTATTCGTTGTTTATTTTGACAATTTGTTTCATTTCAGTACATAAAAGAAAACAACATTGAAGGTAGTTTAGTTTCATTTTTAAAATTCTGGCATTTGAAAAAATAATTTCATCTCAGTCGACAAATTCTATGATATTGGTTAGAGCTGAATAGTTTTTCTTAAATATCCTCCATTTCTAAATAAAGTTTGAAGTGTTTGAACTAAGCCTTCATTTGATCACACTTAATCCACCCAGTTATTTTATACTCGTATAATTTTCTGGAATATATGATCAGTCACTTTCTAATCTGAACAATTTTGATCCACCCACCATGTTTGGGTTCATTTAATGTAACAGAGATGTGCTTGAACGGCAATAATTTAGTGAAAATGTAAGTATATAAATGAAATGTAGTTGTAATTCGTTTATCCAAAGCTCAACTTATTCAACTCCGAAAAAATGGAAAAGATTTCTACCTCATGATGAAGATGGTGGGGGTTTAGCGTTCTCTGAGCCTTGGTATTTTGTTATGAGCGTTTCATCGGTGGGCTTATTGACATCTTCAGCACTACAACCTCATAATCAAGTGACGCATATTCGATTCTTACACGAACATTTAGATGGTGTTTTTATTGATCTTAGGTGTTGTCCAATTTATGTTGGGGAGGAGGTGTTTACCACACTTTAACCTCTTTGACCTTAAATTTCTTTCAGTAACACTGGTACATAATCTTTGTTGGAGTTAGATTATGCTGTCTGTTGTTGTTAAACTGTGCATCATTATTGATTTTGATTAGTCACTTTGATCTTGGTTGATGGATGGATATTTCTCCTTTCTTTTGTGTGTAGATTGGATCGATATCCATATGTCTGTTAATTGACGACTTTTCGTTTGGATGACAAGCTTCTAGAGATCCCCTTGTAGCCTTTAAATCTGCTCTTTGTAGGATTTCTACATCCTACCAGTCAAATTTATGATCGTGATTACCTGTATGGATCGAAACCAAGGAGGTTTCATAATATCACCTTGCCACTGGTTGGTGCTCATGAGTTCTTTGAACAATTCAATGTCTAGACTGGCCAAAATACAGACTTATGGATACCGATCCAATCTACACACAAAAGAAAGGAGAAATATCCATCCATCAACCAAGATCAAAGTGACTAATCAAAATCAATAATGATGCACAGTTTAACAACAACAAACAGCACAATCTAACTCCAACAAAGATTATGTACAGTGTTACTGAAAGAAATTTAAGGTCAAAGAGGTTAAAGTGTGGTAAACACCTCCTCCCCAACATAAATTGGACAACACCTAAGATCAATAAAAACACTATCTAAATGTTCGTGTAAGAATCGAATATGCGTCACTTGATTATGAGGTTGTAGTGCTGAAGATGTCAATAAGCCCACCGATGAAACATCCACGACAGTATTTCAAAGCTCTGAGAACACTAAACCACCACTATTCAATTCTATCAGGTTAGGTTTTCATCCTGAAGTATTTAAAACGTAAACATAGTCCTAATAAGGAGAACTTCATTTTTGTTTACTGATTTGTTCACTGATTGTAAATTTTTATATTTATTAATGAGTTATACTTTCCTGAACTAACGTTTGTTTTATGAGAATCTGTTCACTTTCAAGAAATTTCTCTCCATTGCTCAAGGTATCAAACAGTACCTATGATATGGTGATAAATCAGTTTGTGCATGAGGATGTTTGATGAGACTCTGTTTCATACGTCGATAATAATTCGGAATTATTCACCACTCTATCTGATTCCAACAGTTGTATGTTTATACACTTTCCATGAAATCTAATAACTCTTTAACTGATTCCATATGAAGCTATGGACATGAATCTGCATCCTTGTCCTAAACAAGCGTAAAATAGTCATCCAGTACCCTGTCATTCCTAAAAGTTGTATAGCTGTAGAACCGAGCAGTGATGAAATCAACCTTTAGGTTATATTCCTTAGAAGATGGATGTTGTAAGTCAAAAACATGTTTTAGGACATTTTATTATCGTCACTTACGTGAGTGGCTATTCATAATCTAAACCATGTGTAATAACACTCAGTATTCTTATTAAATTAAAGCCGTGTATCATCTCCAAAATATTTTAACCTACCATCACAGTAATGCATGAATACCTTAGTAAAATCCAACGATTTATTTTCTCGTTGTAACTAATGAATACGAATATACACCTTCTGAAAATGATATCTCAGTAAGAGATTTGATTCGCTGAATTGTCTTTTGTTAGTTTTTCATGACTTAGTAAGACCGTTCGCTAGTTGAAAGCTTACTTGATTTGTAGGATAAATATAAATACCACAATACATCAATATGTACACATAAAGTTTCACCGTCAACTCACATGAACCATTTCACTGACTCTGAGACTGTTATCAGTTGAAGATTTTAATTGATCCGGAAACAATTGTTCACGTTTTTTGCGCCTTATTTCAATTAACAGATCACGCTGTTTACGAAGAAATTCTTGTTTTTCGGTTAATTCCTCTCTAGTTGGTGGTGATATTTTATGGGGATACCATTGATTGAAATGATAATCATTGAGCTCATTCTTATCTAATGTTTGCGTTTCATTTTTAGGTATAGATTCCGTGTTGTTACTTTCTTGAGGTGTAGAAGGGAAATGCTTGGGTCCAGTCTATGATGATAAACATGTAAACGATACAGAAATAAGGATCAAATATTCACTCGATCTTTTCAAAAATATTTTATGCTACATTTGTGATAATAAATTATTCAGGAAGTAACGAAAAAGCCCGTATGGTATCAGAATTATTGACTAATTATTTATTTTTCTATGTCAATTAGTATTCAACAGACCACTTACCTCGTAAGATTTCAAGTGTATTATCAGGAAAATTTCAATTGCCTGTTTTTCACACATCATCATTCCACAGTGGTCTACTCTACAACTGTCAGACCTGGTTGTCGAAGGTAGAAGACATTATAAGCCCACATTTGTTAGAATGGAGGTGTCTTTACGGTATTTCTTATAAGTACTGGAACTAGAGAGCGAATAATATCAGGCTAAGACATAGCGTTAGGCAAGCTGATCAGTTATGCGGTAAAGTAACTGGATACACAATGAACCTGAGTGTACAAATTTGAATAAAATAAGAATAAGTTTAGCAAATTTAGGGTGCCCAGACTGATATGTGACCTCAGCCTGGCAAGTCATTTGCTTACTGGTTGAGAAGCATAGAAAATATTGGCTATCTAGCTAAGGTTCCAAGAATATTGTGAATCAGTGATCAGGAGCTGCACTTAACGTAGTTCTAAATCAGACAATGACTTAGACATCTGTATCCCTAATCACTGAAGTGATATTCCCTATGAATATGACAGAAGAAAAATTCATGACCTGTTTTGTTAGCATATTTCATTGTTACATTTTCTACAACATTACTGAAGAGTTACCAAACGAAAACATATCTACTTGTACTATAGGTACACTTTCAATACTCTAATTGAAGTGATGATCTCATCATTCTTTTTTTGTTGTTGAGTGGATGACATCCGTCATTAAACAACTCAGGTTGTATTCATATTGAAACTGTAATTCTAACAACTGATGGAAAACTCTTGTAATTTTCAACTACAGAGATTAAAACCGTCATGACTGAGAAAACAGCGTCTACCTATAGCAAGAAAACATGATTATGAGTTTCAACAGTCATCTAAATTTTTTGCACTTCTGTGAAACTTAAAGACAACAAATTAGAACCAAGACGTTTTACATCTTATTTTGTACTCATTGTAAATGGCTACAGCTAGAATGGAATTACTGCCCTTATAATCCTTGTTGTCAGTTTATTTTATTTTTTAGCTGATAAACCAAACCGACTAAACTTATATCATTATTATGTGATGAAGTAGAGTATAAATGGCGAGTAGGGCTGAAGTACCGAATAGGTGATAGAGAGATGGTGACAATAAGCAGTAACTGTCGAATCTTAAACTTCGAGTAAAGAGATTATACATGTCAAATAGATGATGAGTTTGAATATCAGTTTTCAGTGTGCTGTAAGAATCATCTATGTGAAACATGGGAGATGAGATTTCGTTAGAACTGTGTATAAAAATGTCATGTGATGTAATCTTTTCAAAACATTTTGTGGGTGAAAATCTAGGTACATGAGACACTGTACAGTATCAACGAAATCTTTTTACAGACTTCATTCAGTGATGGAAATACTAATCCCTTGACGTTGTGAATGACTTTCAGCATACAAATTTAATTACATGGATTGTATACTTACTACCTGGTAACCGGTCTATTGATATATTACAGTCCTAACAAGTGGTAATCGTGAGGTGAGTGGTTTCGTAGTAAAGTCTCATACTTCAGACATGAGTGGTACGGGTTCGAATAGTTGGAAGTGCATTAGTTTCTTCAAAGATAAAGATATGTTTTACTGATGAATTCCAACTGGCATGTAACCCATTTTCAGAGCTTTCTGTCGACTGACTTTTGGCATCAAACACCAATCTAATTTACAAAGTAACGTTCGGAAATGGTTCCATTGTTGCATCCAATGGTGGCTGCATGTCAGTCATCTGAATTCTGTAGTTGTAAATTGTGAACTAAGGTTGTTCATTTTTATATTATTGATGGATAGTGGCTAGCAATGAAATCCAGGAAGCACGTTTCGTCCTAGTTAGGGCCTGTCAGCTGGATATATCTACCTCCCAGTTAGTGATGTTGTTTCCACCAAGACTTAAACCCAGGAATGACCGCTTCAAACGCCAGAGTAATATCCACTAGGCCATCGAGTTGAGGGGGAAAGCCTCGGGTTCCAGTCTTATCAGGGACATCGCAGACTGGGAGGCAGGTATATCCAACTAACAAGTCCCAAACAGAAAGAAACAAATGTCCTTGGTTTCACTGCTAGCCACTACCCATAAATAATAAGAAACTGAAACACGGGCAATCTCAAGACATCAGCGCAGCAGCCTATATGCCAATAGAGATCGATAAATTCGATCCATCAACGACAAGTACCAACAATAAGAAAAATGTTTACCGTTAAGAATCTGGTGATGAACAGGTATCATGTAATATTGAATAATGATTTGAAACTTTATGGATAGCACTGGCGTAAGCAAGTTGTAGGTGCTTGATTCAATAAAAGTAGTGACGCAAAACTTTGAGATCACTTCAAACATGTAAAACAAAAACGAGTTATATTTCTGTTGAGTAATCGTGAAATCAAAAAAGTCATCTCTATTTTGTTAAAATATAAAAATAGATAAAACGTCAGAATACAAATATTTAACGATGTATCACATAGCAAAGGTTCAGGGCCATTAGCAGAGAGTCGTTGTAAGTCGTTTCGGTAACGCTGGAAATGTAAAAATGCTAAAATTAAATAAGAAGCAAGTGGTGGAAACAAGAGATAGAAAAAAGTAAATAATAACATCTTCGATGTTTAACACCTAGCGATCCCAAAAGTCGATCAAGGGCTGCCTTGGTGTTTGTGTGTTTTGGTAATGACCTTTAACCGTTGGAAATACCTTCGAACGTTTGCCTTACTTTATGAAATGAACAGTTTGATACAACCATCTTAGTTTTTGTTTCCACATCACAATAAATGTATCACAACTTTTCAATTCACTTACATTTACTGCCTGACTTTTATTGTGTACATCATTTTGAATTGTTTGTTTCATACCCTTAAAGGTTTAACCATTAACTAAAAACACTGACATCTCATTTACCTTTATTACTTCGTCTTTTTGCTTGGATTTCTCTAGTAGCATGATCTTTATTTCACTTTCATTTATTTCCGTAGAATTACCCATTGGACAAGGAATTGAACAACTGGGTCTAAATTGAAAAAAATTGAAGACAAAATGATTTAATGAAACGTGTAAGATTTATAAGATGATGAATTATGCTATTCAGTAGGACATTTCTTTATTTTACGACAATTTTGTGTCAAAGACTACACGTTGTGATCTTGGCTGGGTGATTTCCAACAGAAACCTGTTGGGACCACAATCAGGCAGTTGACAAACTACTCAGGTGTGAGAAATATCAATGTGGACCATGCAGTCTGTAAGTAATTTTCAAAATGATGATCTTTGTGATAACGATTATTCATATGAAATACTTTTATATCATGTTCATTTCTACGAAAATATCAGCATGAATGATACCTTATTTATATCACAACAACTTATCTCACACAGAAACGTTTCCACAATTTTAAGTTACTATGCTTTAATCTATAAAACCCCTTGAATTATTCACGATGATGATAGCATGAAGATGTTCTCTAACTAAAATAAAAATCTCTGGTCATTTGAGAGAAAAATAAGGAAACTAAAGGGATATTTTTGACTAGATAGTCTAATAGCACTAAATTCAATTACAGAAGTTAGAGAAAACGAAATCACACAGCTTTAAAATTGATAACGATCCATCTCAAACTCAGAAGCTTAAATATTTCAGTTGAACTAGTGCTGTAGATGTACACCTTTAAAAAATAACCATAATTTATTGTAATTTCTATAATGACCTTCTCCAAGATAAATTCCTGTTTTTCAAACATCTTTTTAGGTCTTTTATGCTTAAACCAACATTTTACTCTATAGTACTATTTTCCAATTGACTCAATATACATTTAGCATGTTATATATCTTGTTTTGCTTCAACGATAATGTAGCTATACATAGGCATAAAATGTTTCTTATATAACATCATGCAGATCGAAATGAAGTGGGAGTTGTCATTTATTCATTGTACAATCAAATTCGTCACGTGTAACTTCCGTATTTTTGCAAAAATTAACAACTGGGCTGTTAATTTTGATCATGTGACTTTTTCGTGGTTACTGGAAATAGTTATTCAATAGATTTCTCATATAATGCTAAAGTGAGCATGACATCAGGGAAATCATGCTATAACTGTAGCACAGTGAGTGGTTATCGTGACTCATTGACCTGGTGGATAACGATGGGCCGTAAGAAGCGATTGGTCCTGGGTTAAAGTCTCAATGGGAACAACATTGCTCACCAGAAAACGGGTACATCTAGCTGAAGAGTCCTAAGTAGAACGAAACACATGTCCTAGATTCCACTACTAGTCACTATCTATTATTATTATGAAAAATCAGCACTCAGTTGGCATTCAGTCTTGAAATGGTTAGTTCAATGTCATGTGAGAATTGGCATCTTTTAATCCTAATGAATCTCAGGCGGGACATCATTTCTTCAGAGGTTGCAGATACGCCTTACTTATAAGTGTCAATTAGCACGAAACCCAGGTCCAGGGCTTCTACCGATTGCTTCAATCCAACTTATATCTATCAAAGTCCATCACTATGTTGAGCCAACTAGCCTGGTAGTGACATTGCAAAATGATTGATAGAATTCAACTAGCACATAGGACTAGATAACATGAAGTTGGTTAATATCCAGTGACCAATCAGTGTGCCTAGACCAGTCTTACAAGAGGTCATCCGTGGCCCGAATAACTCAGTGGTAACGTCTTTGACTGTAGCCCTGGGTAACGTAAGTTCAGATCTTAGGCGGAACATCAGTTCCGTTACTAGGTCCACGACCTCCTGCCGATTGTCTCCATCCAACTAACATGATGTACACTTAAGTGATAAAAAAAATAACCAATAAATTGTCAGTTCACCTTTGGTCATTTTTATTTTTCTGTTGAATGTAACAAAGTGCTTCCATCTGTAGGTCAATATTCACCAACGACATTATTTGATAAAATAAATCAAAATTCCAAGAAGCAATTATGTAAGAAATCGGGTTCAAAAAGTGATGTTCATCCATTATTAAGGTATTTGATGAATTCTGAATCAGTTTATAGTTGACTGATGAACCAGTTAGTAGCCGCCTCATCTATAAAACAAAACATAATATAGGTTAAATACATACGAAACCAAATTCTAAGTCGCGTTAATAAGATATTGTTGTACTAAATGGCCATAATCAAAACACAAAGGGTTTTTGAATAAGAATCGTATAAAATGTATTGACAGTGACGCTGTAGACATAAAACAAGGAGATTAGACCCCATAATACGTACGAAGCATTCCAGATGAAAATAGGGTCAAGTAAGACTGCATACCACTTCGCTGTCTAATTTGACGTTCATTTCACTGCCTTTTTAAGGATACAGAAGGTTATAACAGAATTACCTGTGGTTTCAGTTTTGACAGTCTTGTCAGTTGCATCTAACACTTTGCCGTGTCCAAACAGATACTGTTGAATCAGAATACTACGAATGTGTCATTGTGGTCTAAAACTAACAGTAGAGAAGGAACAGCTTGAGCCAACAAGGTTCAACAAGTGTTTAGTAGAAGTCTTTAAGCAGAAGCTCTGTTAAGCGCTAACGGTGGCTTCCCACTCTCATCATCACTCAAGTAACTGCCTTAATCCATGAATATTTGGACTACTTCATATGATTTTCCGTCAACAGTAAATGAAGGCTGAATTTCCTGTCAATCTTCAAAATGTATGAATAAGCAAGAAAAACACTTGCAGCATAGCGGTAAACTTCCATCATGTTTTGAGGATACTCACCAGTTGTATGTAAGCTAAAAGCAGCTTTAAAATCAAATATTAGAGCTATTTACACACTCTAATTAAGTTGACCAGTAGAGACAAGTCCGAAGGTATTATGGACTGGTACCACATGAATCGGAAACATTAGAACGCTTACGGTTACATCCACTGGATACGTGTTGTTTATCTGTAGCCGCTTTAACAAACCACAATATATTTGAGTTCAATTGCTTATTAAGTTTCAATGACTCAAAGTATCAACTTCCTTATCGCTATTTAGCAGGTGGAAAACGGTTGCCAACCGACAAGACATAAACTTTGAGTTGCAAGTTTTTGAGAACAAGCTCTGATGAAAAATCCTTTTGCCTGTTCTTAATAACTATCTTTGTTGGAACGGAATCACTAGAAAAGAAAAAAATTTAAATACCAAGCAAAGATAACTTATCATCTCACCTGCAGTTGGCTTAATACAGTGGAACAAGTTAGGCAGTTGGACTTGTATTCTCGTAATCAAGGATTAAAATTGTTAAGAATTCTCTCAGTTTTCTTACCTTCAAACCCAAGGTTTAGAAATAAAAGATTTTTCTACATCTAGAATTTGACTTTCTTGGTCTGTTTTATTACATACTTTAATAAATAGAAAGTAGGCACTTCAATGCAAAACTGATTTCCTACTCTCTGAGTCTCACTACTCAGTAAACATTTCAAATGAAACTGAAATCTACAAATACCAGAACCATTCTATGGCCTACTGAACAACAACTATTCAAATTAAAATAAACCTCTTTCTTTTGTTATGTGCTTGGTAGTAGCTGGGACTAATATACGGGAGCGTGTTTAGTCCTGTATGGGACTTATCAGCTAGATGTACCTAGATACCAGTGAGTGATGGTATTCCCACCGAAACTCGATCAATTAGACAAAGGAATTCCATCAAGTTGATATAGTATGACAACGAACTATTACAAGAAACAATAAATAAATCTCTTTTCAAGCAATAAGAAGTGTTTTATGCTAATAAGATTCTGAAGTGATGTAGAATATTTCTGGCTTTGAGGGATGATATTGATGTTGTCGCATTCCCTTAGCTAGGTAGTCTAATCATGAAGTCTACATTGTTATTCTAGATAACATCACTGGCACAAACTTCAGAAAGGAGTAGACTGTAGGGTTATATATATATATAGTTTTCAAAATGTTTCAATACTTTTTCGATAGTGCCAGACCGGAAGTCGATATCTTAACGAAGCAGATAACAAGAACAGATGTTAACTAAAAATGAAATCGAGTACAGATATCTTTCATAATAAGGAGGCAAGAAGTTTCATTCCATGAATTTCCACTTAAAAATCTGCAGAACGTTGAGAAAATTATACTTTTCATAGATGCTTCAAGTGTTGTCAACAAAGGTAAATATGAATTCGGTTCTTCAGATTGATAGATGATCGAAATTTGCCTGTAAAAACAACTTCCAATGTGTAATATCTCCTCACAGGTTTTTAGTCATAAACAAGGCATGTTTCGGCTTCATGGGTGAGCTGCTAGAGTGTGATCATACATTGTCAGGGAGATCTCCTTTGAACCTCAACTTCGTCAGGAAATCACTCAAATTTTGTTCAGATTCAACATATCTCACGTTTAGCGGAAAATTATATGAACAAACAAATAGAGTAGCGACGGGTTCTTGGGTGTCCCCTGTAGTTGCAGATCTCTTCATGACTCACAATGAACCCAAGACCTTTGCCAACGCTATCAAAACACGCATTTGGCTCAGACACGTAGATGGTAAATTTGTAATTTTAAAAGTTTCACCTATAAGGATTTTTTCTAAATATCTACATGTGAATATGAAAACGCAATTGGTGAACTACGACTTTTAGACTGTTTATTTAAAAAGGAAAGTGAAAGTAAAGTTTTAGTTTATCGTTTATCGCAACCCAACACACTCAGATCGATACCTTGATTTCAACTCAGCACATTCGCTCAGTGCTAATCTTTCACTTTTTCGAAATTTATTCAGGAGAGCCACAAACTTTGTCATGGATTAAGACGACAGAAAAACATAAATAAGGAACATAATAGATGTGTAACAATCCAATAACTACCCTGTGAATATCATTCAAAAGAGTCAAAACAATGAGCAGACGGATCCAGGAGCAAAATCAAATGGTGCGTCCTATATTAGTACAGTAGGTCTAGCATTCCGTCAAGGTACAAGAAGACAGATACAAAGTATTTAAGGAAAACATCGAATTAGAATCTTTTACAAGACAACCGACACTCTCAGGAGTGCTTTAGTTCAAATAAAAGATGGAATTCATTTGACATCCATATAGAATTATGTCTACAAATTAGACTATGACGATTTTAATGCTTATTATATTGAGAAATCATCGCACGAGATCCTCATTTATGCTAAAGAACATACGAGTTACACAAAACTACCGCCAAACAACCCGGTAAAACCAAAGAATTTACAAATCAAATCACTGTTCATGTCATCTGTCATAGTCACAAAACTGATATTGAAAATATTAAAATTATTCAAAAAAGATTTTCAAACTACAAGGAAAGATGGATAGCTTAGGCCTTTAACATCATTTCGAATCCGAAAACACCTAAAGGAAAGGAAGCCTTAACTATCTAATAAATTTGGACAGTATATCCTAAATATCTCGTTGCACATACTGGTCATAAGAAAAGTGCAGAAACTCAAACAAACTGTATTCATCATCCATCGTATTTTTCTTACTCCTTGATTGTTTTATATGGTCATATGGTTAAACATAGACACCCAACTATACTCCATATCATATCATACAGACAGGTGTGGAATTTTGAAGTAATTACGAGTACGTCTGCAAATTGCATTGATTTACGAACATTACGAATAGTTGATTCATATCGTTAATCTCACATGATCGAGATCCAAACGATGGGTAATCTGTAGTCTTAATTCTTGTAGTTTTGGTAGATGCAAAGTAAGAATTATAAATCACACTATCTTGGAATGAAGGAAACTCAGGATAGCACTAGTGTTTTAGTGTATACTCACATCTTAGATATGCTTGAAAGATGATAGAAATGAATAAGGAGCTAGAAAGAAGGTATTAATTGAATAAAGAAAATGGATATAGTAACATCAAAAGCAGTAATATGTGTTCATATGTCGCATATCTAAATCTGGTGCGACAAGCAAGGAAACCGTCTTTTACACAGAAACGGTAAAGAAAGCTGGAAGGGAATCTGAATGACATGACTTAAAACCATATTTTATGAAATTGAATACTGCGTTCAGTCATAACATTAACAGATATAAGTATTAGATCACAACCAAAACTACCTCATGTATTCAAATTGAGATCTAAAAAGTTTTATGTTCGTTCAATACTAATCAAAATATTATTAATGACGCATAATGTTTGTTACGATTAATTATTTTTGTCGAAAACTCATCCATTCTGTTAGGAATGCTTAAATCCCTTATATTCCATACCTGCGAGTTGTATATATTTGGAATGTTTCCTTCCCTCTCTTTTTCCAAAATATGGGTCACATTTCATACATTCTCCTAACCTTCTGATTGGCTCCTGGCTGTTTAAATGTACTAATTATTCCTTGTCTTTGAAGGTTATTGTAAACTCTATAAATAGGGTCCGTTTTCATTAATAAACGTTTTCTGTCTGAGATACTATAAACTCAGTTGATTACCTTTCTTTTGATTTCCCTTCGCAAATCATCTGAATTGAATAATCTTAACCCTCAACCATTAATCGTTAATTATTATTATTCATTCTCACAACTATTCATCATAACACATTCCTATTCGATTTTCACTAAAAATTGTTGTTTCACCACAGTGTAGTATAATCAGAACTGATTAATTCAAAGAATGGGACATATAACGACCAGTACGTGGAAGTTCTCGATCATTATGTTCATAAAAGCCGAAGTGATGACCTACTATTTAAACTAAGAGACTTTGTTGCCTTCCAACTGGTTCTTATTTCAGCCAGTGAAGTCTACCCTCAGTTCTTATAGTTATCTCTTTAAAACACAATTGTCTTAAAAGATCCGAATCGTTCAATTTAAACAGATTTCCTCACAGACAACTGAGTCAAACACTTAGGGATGAAAACTAAACGTGAATATGCTGAATAACTACCCTCCTTGGCTAAACTGGTAAAAATTCTGGTAACCAGTCCAGTAGCTTATAGTTGAAATGTAGACACAACATGAACAAACGTGAATGTGTCCAACTCACGTAAGTGTTTAATCTACTGTTTATGCGTACAAAAAAAAGTATGTGAACAATTTTTAGCTTACTTCTTAAAGTATGAGTTCATATAGTACATTCAAGCTGCCATACAAAACAAGCCTGTTCGTCTCTTTCTACAAATATTCACTAAAATTTCAGTATTTCCTGGTTAATAAAGCTGTCAACAAAACTGTTGATTATCTAATTTTGTTATCTATCACAGCTAGACAGATTAAGATAAAACGTCAACTAGGCCTAAATTTGGATTTAACGCACTATAATTATGAGAAGAGTAATCGTCAGTTAGATATAAGTTTTATATCTCTAAAATGTTATAGTCAATGCAAGAAAAGCAAAACTAGTCAAAAGTCTCTAGTAAATTCATACAAAAGTGTTTTTTTCGAAAGACGACCTACTGAGAGATAAATATATAAAATTTAGAGTTACTTATCAAGTGCTTAAAAACTATTGCACTCAAACGATTTTTCCTCTACAGGTACTGCACTTTAAGAAACTTATGATGTAGAAAGCATGATACTTTAAGTAGTATGCATATATATAAATATCCGCAACTAGTCAAGATACTAAAAAATATGTAAGATAAATACTATCTTAAGAAAGTAATGAGTTAAATTAAGAAAAACCATAGGTTATAATGGATTATTTTCTTGGTTAACACTCACCATAGCTAAATATTCATCATGTCTGGCGTAATGTTCAGAATGAATTTCTTTTTCATATGTGAATACTATAAGTGGACAAAGTTCAATCGGATTGGCTTTAGGGATTGAATAAGAAGCTTACTTGTACAATGTGCATCCATAAATGATTCTATATGAGCTGCGACTATAGGATCCATAAAAAATTCTTCTACTTCCTCGTTATTCATTTTTAATTTATGTTGAGTTGTAGATGGCTGGTAAAATCTACATTGTAATATTAGTAAGAACAGGATAGGAAACCAATGACGTAATTTTGCAAAGTATACAAATGGAACAGATTTTAGCACAGGACTACTTGAAATTTGTAAATGTTGTTGTGTTAATATACACACAGTTAGCATTTAGGTGTCAGTTAGTTAGATTCGCCTAAACACCAAATAATTAGGGAACCATGGTTATTCATCTGCCTTAAACACTCCAGACAGTTTTACACCCATGATGACAATAATAACGTTAATTCGGATACAATATTGAATCAGCTCAAGTTTTCACACTTTAACTTGTAAAAAATAACGGTTGAAAATTAATCAAGGAAGTGAAATGGTAAGCATACTTTGAGGTTGAGAGTGACTTAGTTTTGGCTTAGGTAAATAGATTTGTTAACGTAAATTTAGACTGCTCTCAAGTCAGCCATAGTGAGTATTCAACATTCCAAACTGATATGTAGTAGATTTAGACGCTTTATGATTTATTACTTTCATTACACCCACCAATCCAATTACCATACACATACCTTAGCGAGAATAAGAAATGATCTAGGGAATGACTATATGTATAACCCTTCTTAAAATTTTGAGTGGATGGAAGTTTACGAACTTACTAACTGGTTACACAAATTTTTTCGTAAGTCATCTTTGTTGTTGTACATCTTAAATTGTTTCATCTAGTCTCATCTTGATTTGCATATTTAACAGTGTATCAAAATATATAAACTGTTGTCCCGTATACCTGAACTGTAAATATCAGTCTACTAGCTAAGGTAAACAAGTCACTAAACCAAAGTTAAGTCAAACAGATAAGTTGAGAAGTGGAATCTTTTATCTATAACAGTAAGAATTATCTGTCAGTTGTTCAAAACATGTCTGCTGAGCACCTAAGAAAACTTTATTTATCATAAATTTTGTCTAATGCGAATTGTGAATGTATGGTTAGGAATTAAAACATAGTGGACAGAAATAAATGCCTGTGGAGGTGTGCCTATCGTAAAGTTCAGTAGGCAGAATAACAAACAGCTATAATGAGAATCGTTTCCTAATGTGAGTTTAGGTGATACTTCCTTGTCCAGTTTTATATTACTGCATAACTGCTATGCAGTTTGAGGTTTTATAACTTTTTAGAGACCAACGATAAGAAATCCAAGGTAAAAAAATACTACTAGACTTGTGAACACTAACAGTAAGCTCTCCTTCTGTCTAAGAAATTTTTGACTGAAGGGATTAAGGCTGGACATCATTCCGCGTAGTATAAAATAACCATCTCAACATTCACATGCTTAACTATTTTCTCAACCTTTTCCAGCTATTCAAGGTTGTCTCTGTTTTATTTATGATAGCCTCACGTATTATGCATACTTTGCTGCAGCTTATATCCTTCGATTCTGCTGAATTAAAACCAAACTTCCAAAGCCTATCGGCATTTGAAAGTTTCATTTGGCGGATGTAACCTGTCTCAGGTTGGATTAGCATTCAATACATATAAGAAATCCTTCAGTTACAACAATGTACGGAAGCAATGGAAAAGCAGTGAATTCAGTGAATAGTTCAAATATCTGTCACGGTTGAATGAAATGTATGGTGATAATCCTGGTAGTTCTGTGCCTTATAAATTCATTGTTATTAAATCGCCTACCGTCAACACTGTTTCAAGATCATGAGTAAAGAATACAGTCAACCGAAATAGAAAAGGGCTCAATAAGTGCAGAATAAGTGGTAAAATGACATTCTGGAGCGTAGGATATCCTATGAGAATGGGTGGAACGTTTTGTTTTCAAAATCGTGCCATATCATCACGGCCTGTAATATCCGGAAAAGTCTCCATAGGATCTGATTACTACTTCCTCCTTTAAACATCCATATTTAATAAGGCTAGATATGATCCAGAAGACTGTAAGTTTATATCAAACAATAGCAAGTAAAGAGTGTTTTAACCAGACAGAAACACTTTAAATCCAATGGATAATGACGTAGTGTCACAGGAGACAAGAATATCTACTGGGTTTTTAGGGGGGTGTTTCACTTTAGAATAAATCAGCTGCATAGAAGGTAAGTGAATGCAGACAACCTTTATCTTAAACAGTTTTATAGCCCCAGAAAAGTCCTGCTGTTACTTTCATGCCCAAATCTCTTTTCTTCGGATTCAAATAAATGCCTTTTGTCTTAAAATATGCGGAAAATTACTCACGTTGACCAAAATCAGAATTAACCGACTCCATTTTGAAGTATGAAAACATGTAAGACCTCAAACATGCCACTTATAACGTGCATTATTTAAGAGAATATGTGCGAATATGCTCGAAAGTAAGGGAGTTCGCCAAAAATGTTTTGAGAATTCATGAAGATTATGCAAAGTGTCTGCTAGCCGCAAAATTGTTAATGTCATTATAAGCAGTATGGTTCGTGGAGCAGTAAGACGTCTGATGGAGTTATATGAGGTTGATTTAAATCCATGATGATGGTGGCAATGGAATAGAGTCGCTATGGACTCAAAAGCTTTGAATTAATGCTAAGTTATCTTGTTGTTTATGCTAAAGCCGAATTGCGGGATAAACACTAACAGTTTATCAATACACAGCCGTCCAAACTTTTCCTGGAGCTGTCGACAGATGAATTACCAGCAGATCTAGCAAGCTATGCCTTTCACTGGCCGCAGAGTCGGGGAGAGAAGAAGCGTGAACATACGTTCATGAGTCAGCAAGCAAATGTGTGCAAGCAGAGTCGTCGCCTCACGTTTTCCTTTTTCTCTCCCAGAATTCAACATCACCATCAAACTCACACATTTTTATGAGCTTCTTTACAACAGCGTACTTACAGACTAAGCAGAAACTTACCAATAACAGGTCATAAAAACATACACGGCTACTCGACTTTTTGTGAGCGTCTCTCTTTGTTAATAATTTCAATAAACTTTGACATTCAAGAAAGAATTCTCATCTTAAAAGTAATGCTAAAATGGAGAAGATATGCCACAAACTATATCAGTAGATAAAGCAGTCACTAGGTCGTAAAAAGATATTGGATATTGCATTACAAACCTGAAACAACGAAACTCTTATTACCACAGTTTACAACGCATAACCAAATAGCACGATATAACAACGGTAACTAAGTCTCAAGCGTTATTTAAATACCATTGCCAGAAATAGGGCTAGTGGGGCATGACAAGAAGGAGCGGAAACTACTTATGGAAAAATAAATCTTACAAGTAATATTGTGGGGTGGAGAGTACAGAGATGGATCCCAGCTGCTGGCAGGGATGTTTACGGTAAGCCGTTTGCACTCACGTACTTATCCAGCAGTCGTTTGAAGGATCCGACTGATGTAGCTTTGGCTACTTCTTACAGTTGAGTGTTCCATGAGGCCTACACTGCATGAGAGGTTAGGTCTCACTCTCGTCTCCAATTTACGGTGGGGTTTGTGAGTGAGATTCGTGCCAATCTGTCGGTTTTTAACCCACAGTGTTGACCTGTCCAGGTGGTTTTCTTAACGGATGATCTTTTGGGCTGCTGCATCTTTTTCTTCTACGACTTGAGATGAACAAGTTGAGTTGTTCAAGGCGTTGCGCCTACGTTTAATCTATTGCCTCAAAAACCTATCTTGCTGCTCTTCTGTGGACCCTCTCGACAGTACTGACATCTCTCCTGAGTGAAGGGATGAATATCGTTTTGAAAACCTCCAGTTATGGCCTAACATGGGTTTTAAATATGACGAGGAACAGTTCATGTTTGATGTTCCGAGCCCTCCTGTTAGGAATTACGCTGCGGCGTTCGCCCTCGTTGCTACCCTCTCATAGCTGGCACTAGTATTCAGTGTGTCAGAAACGTTTGGCCCTAGATCCCTCTTTGTGGGTACACTTTCGATTTTGCACCTTTCGACTATAGAGCTCACCTTTGTCGGCTCCAGCGTGCGTAGATACATTACCCCAAGTTCCTTCAAGTCTCAACCTCCGATAATTGCAAGCTGACCAGGACTGTAGCTGCTGCAGATCATCTTGGAGTATCCTAGAATCCTCCTCCACAACTGTTGTCCATCATATCTCGACGTCATGGCCAAACGGGAGGTTAGGCGGGGAGATTCGGACCGTGAGGTCTCCGATGAACGGTAGGAGTAGGGGCGGCCCGTGGATCGCTCCTTGTGAAACTCCTGTCTTTCATTCCCCCATGTCGACCTGATTCTCTTTACTATAGAACATTCTTCTCGGTCTTTTATATATGCTGCATACCATGCTAAGAGTGATTCAGAGACACCCACGTTTACAGGTCTATCGAGTATGGTGTAGTGTAGGACGCTATCGAAAGCTTGGCTATATCCAGAAATTTAACACAGACCGGCTGCTCACTGACCCATTTGTTGGCGCGGTGATCTCAAGAGGTCATGGGATTCATGGCATATTAACGTCCGGCTCTGAAGTAGTGGTGGGTGGCCGAACGATGTTCTTTCTGTCTGGGTAGTCCCAAACAACATCTGTAACCAGGCTCTCCAGTGTCTCGAACAGTATGGGCAGTAAAGTCATTTGGTTGTAACTATATGGGTCTTTTCGGTCTCCTCCCTTGAAGATTGGTAAAAGTGGTACACGTTTCCATTCTTTTGTGAGTTGGCTTTCCTTCAACAAGTGAGCGAGCTGACTGTATATAGGTATGCTTATCCCCATGGCACAGTTCCGCAAGACCGCCGGTCTTATGTCTTCGAAGCTCAGAGACTTCCCTTTTCCGAATCTGTAGAGTTTCGTGTGCCACTTATGCTGTGCCCTCTTTTTACTCTGCATTTGCCTTTGTGTTGAATGAGTAACTTAGGTAGGTCTGATGGCTGATTATCTGCTTACTCCTTTCGAGAGCTTCCTGGATAATATCTTTTGTGTGCACCAGTGTTCGTCCATGGATAGAGAGTTCCATTCTTATGGTCATGTAGCGTTTAGTGATTCTCTATTGATCAACCTACTGTCTAACTCACGGTAACGGCGGAATACTTTTATTTCAACTGTCGTCAGTTCCTCTTTGATTGTCAAGGAAGATGTCATCAACTTGTGACCGCTTTTGCCTAAGGGGCTTAGAAACAGAAGTGGTTCACCAAAAGTTAACCTTACCTTGGAAAGCAGTCAAGTCGTGGTTCTTTTCTGCCTGATCCCTATCGCGTGTTCTTCTAAACTCTTTCGATTAGTTCTGCCACCGCAAGTGTGCCCCTAACTTCTCTGTTCAAAAGTTTTATGTCTTTAACCTACTTCCTATCCCAGGTTAAGTGCTGGTGTGTTGAAGTTTCCAGAGAGGACTACGCGGTCATAGGTTGACGAGGTGGATTTCAAAATCGCCATGAGAAGTTGTTCCTAAGGTTGTTTTGTGCACGGTGAAGACCTGTACACCACTACTCGCTGGTACTTTGGGTGGTACGCGGTTAAACAGCACCACAGGGAGACTGGTAATAGATTAAACATTTCAGCAGTCGCCTCCCAGACTTCTAGCTGATTGCTGATAGATTTGATCACTTCTACTTCATTGAACTGCCTGTCATTTCGAAACGAGGCCATGGTAGGTGCAGACATTTCCCGGCCCAGGAACTGTCACTGAAGCCACGTCTCCGTAGTGGAGGTGACATCTCTATGCAGATGAGAGCGCAAGATTCCCAGCTCCTATAATTCACATCCGATGCCTTGCACACCGCTGTAGAAGCATATCAGAAGGGCTCTTCGCGGACGTAGCATGGCGAGGGACTTTAAGTGGAGGTTATTACGCCGTTACATCGAATGCTGACTGACAACCCTACTGGACTTATAAGTATCTGGTTTTCAGAACTTCTTGTAGCCCTGGTGTTGGTTTGTTGGAATAGTTTATCGCTATACCTTTAAGCATCAGTTCTCCGTCTAGTCCTTTGCTGACTTGCACTGCCTGCAGTTTTTTTGAAGGTTGCTCCTTATCCTCCAGTCTAGCGGACAGTGACTTGCTTTCTCACCATCACATGGCATCTCTTATTTGGTCTTTTATGCGACACTTCGATGTTAGTGTCTTTGTGAATGATGCCCCAGAAACGGAACGCACGGCTGGCAGTCTGGAGGGAGAGACGATGTATAGGTGATTAGGCGTTGATGGCTTCCCCAAGCCAGTATTTCTGCTCTACCCCATCACATCTTTACTTCGCTCCATTTGGCATAGACAAAACCATTTCTTCAGGTTGCTCAACCTCATCGTGTCATGTGGGCTGTTTTGGTAAAATAAGCGAAGACTTAGTTGACGCACTACTTGTGATGGAAACTAGTCGTTTCTCACGTCGGATGTGACGCACATGCTCACCTGCAGCCTGGATGCACGTGGGCCTTGCTTAGCTTCTGCGAGTGGATTTTAAGAGCACGTGTAGTATGGTGTCGAAGGTTGTACAAGTTTCCTCGGCTTTCAGGCGTAATGTAAGGAGATTTCCGACGTTCTGAAAATGTGTGCCACATCTACTCACATGGGTGTTTTATCATTTTCTGCGGAATGAAAAGTACCCAACTGGTCACTACCATCACTCTGAAAACTAACGACTGTGCGGTTGAACACCCCCAATAGCTCGGGTTGCTACAACTGCAGCACTATTTATCTCACTCGATCGTACACCTTGAAATTGTGGGAAGTTGCTGGTATGATTATGGTTCGTACAACTGGACAGTCGAAACCAAGACTGGCAACCTACTTTAACTGTCAAAGAACTTTCACCTTCTACTCGACCTTGGCATTTTTATCTTTCTTTTGCTCTCATTTACCTACCCAAACGGGAAGCAACAGTGATTTAGCCAAGTCCGGTCGCAACTGAAACATCATCTACACCCTTTCCGCTAGTGATTGAGGCCGGAGATGAGGGTGTGAAACCTCATCGAAGGACCATGGGCCAACCGCGGTAAAAAAAACGCAAAAAGTGATGCCTGAAAAAAGCCAAATCGCCATCACATGGTTCTCAGGACACACCTGTCTTCGTTCACCAGTGGGTATGCGTAACTGGCACACTGATACTAAGCATTGGCATATCTTTTAAAGTCATCTTAGACAGCAGAGAACGGGAAGAAATTCAGGGGCCAGACCCCCTGGACAAGGTGGTGGTTGCCGCAGGTGTAATCTCATCGTGGCCAAAGTAGGCGCGGCTTTTGAGAGTAACATTTACAACAAGTGGGTACACTGTCAATGTGATGGGGACGTGCCAAGTCAATATCTAGCGTTCACGGCTCATTACGCATGCACGTGGTTCTGGCATATCTGAACACTGTCACATGAGTCCAGTCCTCTCTGCAGGCTCACTGATGGGAGGCTGTGAGGTTACCTCACTGGCTACGCCGATGCTGGAGCCCACACAAATAGTAACCGTGATGAATCTCCGAAAGGAGTGTCGGTGTCGTTCCATGACATGCACAAATATGAGTAACTAAAAACCGGCCAACCGACGCACGGTAGTAAAGTCAACCTCATCAACCTCAAACCTAGAAGTAGCTCTGACGGCATCTCCTGTTGTTCGTCACGAAAAATGGGTTTTAGTAGAAAAGTAACGACTTTTCCAGAAACCAACCCACGATGCACGAAAACAGTGATGTTGATTGCAGATCGACTTCCGTCATTTTATTTAACGTTCTCGTGTGTCACGACAGTCTCCTTGAGAAAAAAGAGTCGTTCGACAAGCACCAGTAGGCAAAGTTATGTTGCACACGACGGCTAGGCAGCCTAAAGGCAAAATTATGCAGGCTTCATGATAACAGCCATTCACCCCGAGGAAAACCTTCACCAATCTGGGTGACCCTGAGTCCGGCTGTGGAGACTGACAAGTCCATCTTGCTGTCACACTTACTGGTCATCAACCAGTTATTCAACATCAGGATTAGGCCGAAGCCACCACAGTCGGTGAGAAAAGTGCCTCGAGAAACGCCATACAAGTACGAGGTATAGACCACGGTTATCCACGGCATTCCGGAACTGGCATGCGGCACATTAATAGAAAGGTATACTCGTGATTTACAACAATTTCAGGGGTTGTCAGTAAGGGTAGAGCCAGGTGAAATGGTTGCGGCTGCAGTGGTTTGCGGGCTCCCACGTCCACCACATCTGATAACAGTGGCGT